TCCTATGTCAACAGCAACTATGTGTATGTAATTATCAGATTGATTCCCAAATATTCTTTGTCTATCCGTACCTGTAAAAAATATCATTTAAGATTCAACACCCCAACAAATATATATATATATCTACTCCTTTTTAAATGCATCTTTCGGGTTGTTTGATATATATGTATTTATTTAAGCGTCTATCATGAATGGCGATGTTTCAAATTACTGTAGTTCCGTTGTGTTTTGATATGATCAGGCATAACAAATTGTGGGCGAGGCAAGAGGAATGTGGCCTCTAAACACCCTCTTCCAACTCGGCCGAATGAGGGCGTTTGTGTCGTATCAAAGTCTGAAAAAATGGTTGTGAATGAGGTTCAAACAATTCACAAACTAGGAATTGGGCAATGTGAACGCTCACAAATAAAAACTGACTGATAGTAATTGTATTATTAAATGCAGACATGTATAGTATCCGAGCACTAAATGAAAAAAACACGGGTTTATCAGGTACTCAGAATGTGACAGCCAACATGTTCAAATGTAAAGTTTTATGCATATGCATATTTTGAACCATTTCTAGCGTTGCCCTACATAGGGTAACAAAACAGGGCCGTGTGATGGTTTCAAAACGAATTGGCATACGTGCGACTAAAACACGAGCAAGACCACTGTAGCGCGAATGGTCAAGTGCATTGGCGTTATCGACCTTATTCTAGACTGCTAACATCAATGACCGACAACTTGTCCGCAGCCGAGGATTCAATAAAGCATCGCAAATTAACAAGAACGAGGTCAAAGCCTAAATCAACCGACCAGAAAACCGCATCGTGTTGTCATCGCATGTGGTTCTCTCAATATTCATTGACATGCACATTATAAAATCACTTAACATTATACTAGCTGCAAGCCGACCATTGCTGCTTGCTGCTCTGTTTATTTATTATTTTCTGTCCAGTTACATAATTACATACACAACATATGATGTGATAAAATTCTATATCAATGTTAAAAATTGGTTTCATGGTAAAACATGTTCACTCTTCTTTATTTTTTTCAAACTTCTATGACATCATAGATGACATAATGCAAAACCCGCATTTTCTAAATATACTGATCCTAATTAGTAATACACTTGATGTCACCCTTTGAACCTGAAAAGAAAAAAAACACACATTAAGATCACGGTAAATGTATGGTTGAGCCGTCGATAACACTGGAGTACCAATAGCGTGTCATAGCATGTATCATGCAAACAAATCAACACAGTCCTTGTATTTTGATATTTACCCACGTCCCATAATTAGAGGTAGCGTTTTCTGACCCCCCACGTACGTCGTTTATTTGTGATATCGTGCCACTGTTGATACAGACACAAATCAATTTCATTTGGCGCGCGTACACGGTAAGCGTACCAACAGTAAGCATCTTCGATTGTTTCCGATAATAGCATAACCTTTTTTCAGAGATTCTATTTCAAACGGATAGTAATTAGACTTGTCCAAGATATCTCGTGCGATGAACATTATATATAGGCATAATATCATAAATGTAAATATAGAATTTTGTGAATTATTCTCACCGTAGGCACTCCTAGCTTTGTTGCATAGGCCATAATACTTCCCACTTGCAATAACACGATCAAGACTGTCATTCCACCATTCCAATACATCGCTATCCTTACGTGTCATCATGTGAACGGTGCCTTCGTTGCAAACGACCGCATCGCCTACAGCTTCGTATAAACTAGTGTCAGCTAAATAGGCATATAGAAAGAAAGCATCTACCTGTATAAACAAAAATAACATTTCGTGTCATTGAATTGAGTGTCATTGAATGAATATTGGGATAGATATTATATCAACAGTTCAAACGCCAATACTACAGCTTATCGTAGTCATTACAGAGCCCAAGACAATACATTACTCGGGACATAAATATGCGTATTATACGGTTCTAAACGGACCTGGAATAAGTAACGTTTTGTTCATTGCAAGGCTTGTGTCATCAACATATTCGCAGAGAATGAGATAATATAACAATGCATGTATCATTTCAGTATAAACACAGAAACTAATATTGAGTGACTGACTGACTGACTGAATGAATAAATGGATGAATGGATGAATAAATGAATGAATAAATGAATAAATGGATGAATAAATGAATGAATGAATGAACGAAAGAACGGATGATTATAGTTACTTACCTCGCCATCTTCCAATCCCTTAACTAGATCTGAAACATCGTTATAGTATTTGGTGGCACTTGGGGCAGCTAGGTCTGAGCCAGAAAGTATGCAATGCTCGTCGCACATCCAACCGTCTACGAAACCTGAGGTTTAGGAAAATGTATAACTCGATTATCTGAAAACATACCTCCATGCAAGAAAGGTAGTGATGCAATATCTTAAGCTCCGAGTTAGATTACAGCATAATTCGAACGTACCGACAGTGGATGCACTCATGTCTTTGGGATCAAACCCTCCTGGGTTTCCAGACTTGACGAAGAATTTTGAAGTGAGATCGTCCTTCCAATGAGGTTTAGTAAAAGCAAGAGCCCTCTCTCTTTCATTTGACTTTACCCAGTTGACACATACATCGAACTGTCTTCCAAGTATTCCTTCAAAAGAAGTATGAATTTAAATTGGCGATAACAACGATTTGACGCAAATGCATGTATGTGATAAAGATTCTACACTAAGATACACTGTGCGCTGTAGTCCAAGCCTTTTCAACGTTCACACACACCCGTTAAGACTAGTGCCTGGAAGTGTGTGTGTGTTTGTGTGTGACACATTCGTCAAACTCTCCATAACTTGAGCTCTCATAGCAACTCACCTTCGCCAGCTCGTGGTTGCTCTCCCTGGGAAGTATAACATGTTTTACTCACGTCGTACTGAGACACACAGGTCCTATTGGCTTCTTCGCAAACTGTGAATAAAAACAGATTTACAAAATCGTAAATCAAGTAGGCTACCTGATTCACTGATAGGCGAAGTTTGTTTCGGCTGAAAACGGAGAACCCGTTATACCACAGTTCGGATTGGGTACGACGAAAAGAGTGAACATATGTTCTCAATATGTAACAGGAAAAGTGTTGTGTAGTCAAATAATTGTTGTTATATGATTTTATCAAGTTGATGATGTCGTGAACTGAAAACGATGTTGTGACCCCCACAAATAGTTTATGTTTGACGGACTAAATACACTAGAGCGGTTATGTATTAAAGTCAGGTGCTTATCTACCGTTACTCGGGCACTTAAACTCCACATATTTCAGTCAAAAAATAAAAAAAAAATTTGTTATTAAAAAGTTATGGTAAGTAAATAGAGAGTGGATCATGTCGAACGGATCCGGTATTTTACGTTATGATGTTTTTTATGAACCTGTGAATATGAAAAGAAAAACAATGATGTATAGCTATGTAAGAATAATTGAGCTATATTTGAGTTTACATCCAAATGTTAAAGGGGTACAAAATGTTGACAGTCATGCGCAGTCGATACTTGACCTTTAAAGCATTTCTGGTTATACGTTGCTGTTAACTTAGTGTGTCTGTAACAGATTCAAGAGCTAACACCAGCAAATGGAAATAAATCGCCGCTTTGTAAGAGCCATTACAATAACTGAATGATGCAAATTTATTACAAAATGTTGACATTAATTTATATCTAATAACCAAAACAAATAAATAATTTTATTTTTATTAAATACTCAAGTTTTTAAAATGTATGGTTATGGCGTGTTGTTGTTTACAAACAAACGTCAACCCATGAACTTTGCGTTTTTAAGGTACGGTGTCATCGTCGCTTGGGACTCAATTCTTGTGTCTGCGCAGGTGACGACCCTTTCACTTTAAGTGAATGATAAGTACTCACCTGCGTCGATGAGACCGAGTGTAAAACCACTAAGTTCACCATTTTCATCGCTGAAAATGACAACAATTGTAACAGATAATTGATATGAATTGAATGTTTGTTTTCTCAATTCGCCAGTGAAAAGAAGGAGAAATAATACAATCATATGGCGTGAAATATTAAATGAATGTTTTTCACAAATTTGTCTCTATAAACGTCAGATTGTTTACTGGATCAATAGTTTAAATAGTTTGGATATAAAAAAAAAAACGCCAAGTGTGTTAGAAACAGTGACTCAACTATAGTGTACAGCTTTTAAACACTGACCACGTGATTAACAGCTCGAGTAGCCAATCAGGAACAGCGTTGCAATTGGTTATTTCTTGAAGCGATGAGAGACAAGTCATGGTGTTGCAAACTGTAAGTCAGCTGGCCTGAAAATTGTATTTTTTTTCGTTTTTTTAGAAGGGTATTTTATTCAGTGAAGTGGTACGACAGGTGTAATCAACAGGTGGTGGTAATTAGAGAATGATTTGTTGATGGGAAATAATGTTAACCTTATCTAGTACTTTAAGTTAAATAAAAACAGCCAGTGTTTAAGTAGCTGACACCAAAATACATCGAGAAGTTGTTTCGGGCCATGCTCTCACAATACCTCACCCCTCTGCCCCGTGGTGTTTCATACACTGAGCACACCCCGACGTTCGTCAGTACAGAGCGCACGCCCTCATATTCACATTGCCAAGAGCTGCACAATTTACGTGCTCGGAGTAATATATGTGACATGATCTATAGTGTGACTCGTGATGATAATGCTACGTGACTTACATGTACTCCAGTGCTGTGTTCCAGGAGAACGTATGGTGGAATGTGTACACTCTTCTCGACTGTACTTGATTTTTGAACTCTTCTATGATTTTCTTTCCAATTTGTTCAGACACCAACCGGAAGAGTACTATGCTGCGCAGTAGTTGATTTTCGTCTGGCTGTTCTTGTTGTAGCTATAAAGAATACATGCCAATAAATCCGATATGTTTAAATAATTATAGACTAGGCCGTATGTATGGTGTGTCACGGTGTATATTAAAG